AAAAATGTAAACTCTATACGTTTAATAAAGAACAGAATTCAATAAAACAAATAAAATAATTTTATCGATTTATTTTTGTTTTTTTTTACACAGTTATTCAACATAAAATCAATCATAAAGACAAAATAGAAAACAAAAATAAAACAACATATGCTAGTTTATATTGTGATGAAACGAAGAAAAATTTTAATTGTACACTATTTTTTCTGAATTAAACTTTGATGATATATACAGTCATATTATCACGACTTTGTTTTTCTAAACAATGATCTAACAATTGTGATGCAATTTGATCTAATTTTATTATTGATATTCGTTGAAATACAAATGAAGCAAATTGTTCATTCGACATAACATTCTGAATACCATCAGATGCAATAATAATAAATGCCGCTGATGATTTTCGAGAATAAATGATTATATCAGGAATAGGCGGTACCAAGGGGGAACAAACTGATTTCTAGTTTAGAAATCAACTGGAAATCACTGGAAATCACTGGAAATCACTGGAAATCACTAGAAATCACTAGAAATCACTGGAAATCGCTAGAAATCACTGGAAATCTCTGGAAATCACTAGAAATCACTAGAAATCACTGGAAATCACTAGAAATCACTGGAAATCTCTGGAAATCTCTGGAAATCACTAGAAATCACTGGAAATCGCAAGATGATTTTCTGGTGATTTCTAGTGATTTCTGATGATTTCTGGTGATTTCTAGTGATTTCTGGTGATTTCTAGTGATTTCTGATGATTTCTGGTGATTTCCAGTGATTTCTTTGATTTCTCTGATTTTCAGTGATTTCTAGTGATTTCCAGTGATTTCCAGTGATTTCCAATGATTCCTATGATTTCTGACGATTTCTATTATTACAAACCAGTTTTTTGACCCTTCCGAGAAATCACCAGAAATCACTAGAAATCACTAGAAATCACCAGAAATCACTGGAAATCACTAGAAATCACCAGAAATCACTGGAAATCACTAGAAATCACCAGAAATCACTGGAAATCACTAGAAATCATAGAAATCAGAAATCAGTTTGTTCCCCCTTGGGCGGTACTATATTTTTATCTATAGAAAAATCTCCTAAAACTCTTGTCATTGCAAGACGTCGTTCAACACGTAAAACATCTTTTGATGATTTTTGTGTTATGTGACCTCCTGCTTCATGAATACGTTCTTCTTCATTTGGATCATCTGGTTTATGATCTAATTATAAATAGAAAATAAAATAAATGAAATAAATAAATAAATCATAATTACCATGCGTAGATACTAAAACTTCTCCACTATTTGAAATAATAATAGCTCGAGCATTATCAACATTTATTAAATAAATTTTTTTTGGACTTATTAGACAAGCAATCTATCTATATATTGTATTAAATGAATAATGATAATATATTTATTTAAAATACTTACACATACGGCACCACTATCATCATAATCAGTTTTTCTTAATTGTTTATCAAGTTTAATAAAGCTTTTTTAATTGCATTACGAAATTCTTTTCGATGAATTTTCTTATTTTCAGATTGATGTCTTTTGTGTTCAATCATTCGATGAAATTCATTGAGAATATGACGATGAAGATTATTAGATGCATAATGTGCTGTACCAGAACCTGAAGACAATAAATAATTTTACTTCAAAAAAAAAAAATTATTTGTTGAATACCTGAATGACCATCAAATATAGAAAAATAAGAATATTGTTTCCATAAATAATGATTACTTAAATACGTTAAATGTTGATGAAAATCTTCCATTGATGGACGACATCCTTGCATTGAACTAGATCCAAACCATTTTCCATCAATTATTTGTTTATCTTTCAATAACTGATCATCAGATATATTTATTAAAGTAGACACTTTAAATAAAAAGAAAAAAAGAATTCAAGTACATATTCATTACTTGAAAGTATCTATTTCTTTTTTCTTAGTTTTATATTAATTTTCATATATTTATGTAAATTAAATCGTTGAACTTAATCCTATTTTCGATACAAAATTGCAAATCAAAAATATTCATTTGAATTATTTTTGATAAAATTTATTTATTTAAAAAAATAATCTAATTGCTATTAGAAAAATACTTTCATCTGCTGTCCTTATAATTAATATTGATAAATAAATCTTTTTTTCGAAATATTTCATATTTATATTATGAAAATTTTTCAAGTCTTTTTCTGTATTAATTCAAACAAAACAAAAATTTTGCACTTGATTATCTTACTTTCAATGTTGGATTGACTATTGCTCATTTATGAAGATGTCTTATGTTTTATCTTTCTTATATTAATATATTCATACTCAATGACGTTTTTTTTTCTTCTTTTTTCAGCACGTTTTTCGATGAAGAATCGAACAAATCAGACTAAAAAATTACTGTGGACAGAATATAAAAAGATCTATCTAAATATAAATGATAAATTTGTTTGGTTGCTCAATCGAAATGTGTTTTTTTTTAAAGATAAAAATAAACATTGCAAAAATAAAAATCATTATTTTTATACGATTTTATTCATTTGACAGTTTTCTTTTCATATTCTCATCGAGTTTTTTGAATAAAATTCTTTGTTTTTTTTTATTATCTAAAATTAATTTTACTTTTATATTTGAAAACAATTCGTTTGCTTTTTTATCAATAGAAATTTATCAAACTTCAATAGACTTTATAATTCCCATTTTAGATTATCCATTAATGATTAGAAAAATATCTACTGAACAAATCCATCGTTATCGAACCCTAGCATGAACATCTGTTTACATCGGATAATCCATCTGATAGAATGCTGACTATATAGTAGCATAGACCGGTTATTGGAACTAGGATGTCCTTAATCAATATGTATGGAGAGCTCAAGTCATTGAGCGAAAGAACTCTAAGTTAGACTGCACTTCTGTCGAGAGCTACAGTTAGTCAGAGTTGAAAGTCAAATATTGAGTCAAAAGGAACTATTTTTGGGTCGCATTCTATATTCCAAGGCGCGATAGTCTTCTTCGCCATAGAGAATATATAGAAAGGTAGGTAGCAATGCGATTGATTTTTTGTTTTTTTAAAAGATATAACAGAGAAAAAGAATTGCATTTTATTTTGATATGTCAATTATTTTATTTCTTTTTGAGACATAAAAGAAAAAATATTGTGTGTTTATAAAAGAAAGGAGAAAGTCAACATAAATAGAAAGAAATGGAATCAATGCATATCAACTTTTTTAAGATTAAAAAAAAAAGACAAAAATGAAGAAATTTTATTGACTAATAGGTAATAACAAAAAAAAAAGAGATTTCTCTTTCTGATTTGTAATAAATAATTCATTTTTAATGCATTTATAAATAAATGTTATTGATTATTTTATTTGTTTGTTGCTCATTATTGAAAAAATGAATAAGAAGTTTTGAAAAGCATATTAATTCAAACTTTGAAGATTTCTCTATAAACAAATTAAAAAAAAATATATATTTCTTCGAATTATTTACAATATGTTGGATAAAAATTAATCATTTTTTTCTTTTTTTATGTTGCAGAATTATTTTTATGCATGTTTGTCTTTATACATGGAAATAAAAGTAAATAAGAATTGTGCATGAAAATTTATTTTGATGTTGTATGAATATTTTTCGATACGATCATATGTCGATATAGAACAAACATGAAAGCTATTGTTATTAATT